GGGTATGCTCATGGGCCACACTTCTAATTTTCAGGAATAACGTTTTCCAGCATCCAATTTCTTAACTGGTGAGGTGTTTTCTTACACATGTAAAAGCACATGTCCCTAGACACAGCCTCACTAGAAAGCTAACACAATGATGGCTAACACAATTTTGCCCAGGCAAACTGAAGGAGTGTGTGTATATAAATGTGTCTTATAGATAAACAGACACACCTACATGTGTGTGTGCACAGAGAAAACTACACATACACAGTCTGGGGTTTTCTGAACTAAGTTTTGCACGCAGCTATCTTAGGGAAAACCCAAGCTGAAGGTTTTTAAGTTTTCCCTAATGTGTTTCAGAGGCCTCCACTCCATGAAATAGATAAGGGGTGACCTGAAGGACAAGAATGGGAAGTTCTGGCAAGCTAGAGTCAAATGATATTTCTTGGATATAGCTGCTAGTAAAAAAATTAAAGAAAAGAGATGGAAAGTGAGAAATAAGTTGCACTACTTGAATAGATAGCAAAGAACAAGCTACAAAGAAATGAGTGCACAGAAACTGGCAGAAGCTTATTATTCATAATGTTGCTGATACAACATTTCAAGGGAAGTGCTGACAAGAAATCACGGAATAAGAAAAGGCCCAAGTGAAACTTCATTTGAAAGGTTTATTTCTAAGAATCAAGGACAATCAGAATCAGACTCCTCCACACGTCACAGGGAAATGTGGCATCTTAAAAAGTTCCTGTACATGTGCAAACCCAGTGGTGGGCTAATCACCCCAATGTGCGGTCAAACAAGCACAAAGCACACCAAGAGCAAACTCAGAAGGCATGTTTTCTACTTCTGGTGTTATCCAGTTTACTTCACGTAGACACTCTTCTGTCATCCAGCAGCATAAGTGCTAGGGAGTGAAGATTTTCCTAGGATTCACCTTCCTCAAACATTTTACATTTTGGAAGATTTAGGATGTTTTCTTCTTCTACCTGTGAGTGAAAACACTTTTCAAGGATCCCAAGCATCTCTGAATTAGAAACTGAACTCCCCTCTCTCTACAAAGATAAATGGGCATGCAGGTAGAACATTTTATTCAGAAAGGCTTGTCTCCAAAGCATCTTCCTGTGAAACTTATTTCTCTGTTGACATGTTTATATAAAACAGCATTGTTTGTAAATATCCAACATCCTGCCCCCAAAACTTTGCAATTGTTTATCCCATTTTCCCAACACATTAAGTCTGTGTGTACACCGAGATGTGGGATGGCCCAGTAAGAGCTGATTTATAGTGAAACAGTGAGTGCTGAGGACCCAGCACCCACACATTACATGTCTGGGGCTTGCTTCAGATGAGCTCCAGTCTGGCCCCATGGACCGAACATGCATTATCAGCTGCATCAGGTACACTGCTGAAACACATCGTTCCAGTTTAAGCTCATCCAAGAAGAATCAAGCACGTGAGATCACTCTGTATTGTTACATAGATGATCACTTAAAAAGTGCAAACATGCTCTGAACTAAATTACCAATGTTAGCATAGGCACGCTAACTGCCTTCACAGAGCATTTCGTATCAGCTTTCAGATGAACTCAGTTAAGCCTCTGCTACAATACAGAAGCTAAAAAATTAATGGATTTGCAAGCAAAACAAGGACTTCTTAAATAGAAGCAATAAAAAAACTGGAAAACTTACCACAAAAGCTTACCTTATGTGTAAGCACTCCTGTGCTATGGGAAAGAGAAAGGTTTCTGATGGAATGGTCAGCCTGGCTGCAAAGAAACACATCTCTTAGATACAGTTAGCACTTAGAAAACAACACTGCTTGGTTGTAAGGAGATTGTTTTAATCCCCTGCTTGATAAAGAACAGCTCAATCTGCGAGTTTAAGGACTCCTGAATAAAAATCCTCCCAAAATATCCAATATCACCAGTACAAGCACAATAAAGTCTGTACTAGAAGGTTGATATTTCTGAAGGTATTTCTCCAGATCTGAATAAACCTTGTATTTGAAAAGATGGTCTCAGAAGGGCAGTTCTGGTACCATTAGGGGCCCTGCTAAACAAGCAGTTGTCATGACTAATTAGGTCAGCGACTTATGGAAGTACTCTGCCAAAGCTTTAAGAGGGATGAGGCAGTGCATTACTACTTCAGAAAATGCAATTACCAAGCAAATCTGACACAGAAAGGTTTCCTCCCCAGAGGGCAAGCTGCAGGTTGCATGACCCTGAGCAATTCAGTTGGGGTGAAGCAATTTCAAAACACAAGACTTTGGGAAATCTACATCAGAACCAAAAGAAACAATAGAGACCATTAGTAACATTTCCAGTCAAAAACAAAGCCAGTCTTTTCCACTAGGCTTAAGGCTCCACTGCCGTAGCAGGTTCCTCACGGTTCTGTCCCGCCCTGACAGGAGGCGTCCGCCCGTCTCCGGGGCCTGTTGAGGCGGTTCCTCACACGGAGGGGAATGCCTCTGCGTACCAGCCCGAACAAAACACAGCTTTGGCATTAAGGTGCAAGTATTTACAAAAATTTACAAATTAAAAAGTCACAGTGGCCCCTAAACCACTGCCTCTCAGCCCCACACAGGCTGCCCCGTTCCCAGGTCTCACAGGAAGGTTCTGGAAGAACCCTCTGGCCTCCCACAGCAGCCCCTCCTGTGGCATTACGTGCTGGGTAGCAGGATCACAACTCTTAAATAAGCTTCAAAGGTTTTCATGTCAAAATAAATGCACTTGCTGCTTCATTTGTGTTGCATAAAGAGTGTCAAAGACATTATAAAGCAGGCACATACATAATTAATCTTTTGAAAGTGATGATTTTTCCATAAACTGATGTGGGTTTCCGAGCCACCTCCTCACGCACATCCACAGGCACGCAGCAGGGTGCTGCGCTCTCCCACTCCCCGCCAAGCTCCCCAGCAGCTGCCTGGCTATGGGAAACAGCGAACAAAGACGTGAAGCACATTTAAACCAGTAGAAACCTTTCATGCTAGCAAAATGTGGAAGCAGATGGTACATAAAAAGCAATATGGTAACAACCAATAGTAACCAGTATCATGACTTGGTTAAGAAACATCCGTCTGTTTCTCACAGATTAGTATACACTACTGTAATTCTCCATCTCAGCAGCCTGCTCTGGGGAATACCGGAGACCCTCCATCCAGCTAGATGAACTGTTTTTATTATAATTTCTTAAGCCATTAGCATATTCAATGCTAGACATATACTAAACCACTTAAAATATAGTAAGAGTATAGATGTAATGGTAGTTCATAAATTAATTTGCGATCTTGTGGCCCTAATCTATACTCATCAGCACCATCCTTTCACAGCTGCATTAAGAGGTTCTGCTACAACACCTGTAATGTTCCATTAATACTATTTCTGCTCATTAACCAGTTGTGTGGAGTTTTTCTCCCCCCTCCCCCCCATTCTCAAGGTGGAACAAACTCCCATCTATGTCAAGAAGCCTTTATCCCTCCTTATATTTTATTGTGCAACTCACAATACCAGTCTGGACATACAGCAGCATCTGGCATCTTCAGCTTTTCTGTAGTACGAGGCAGCTCCCCAAAGAAATGGCTCCTGGCATGGCCAGAACCATCCAGTAGCAGCATCACCTTTGCCAAGAGTGCAAGCCATGCTTCCATGGAAATGCAACAAGGAATCAGAAGTTCAGCACTGCGACTTTAATATCTTTTGTTCTGGAAACTAAAAATCAGATTACCTCCACTGAATGCAGTGTGGGATTTTGTATGGGATGTTTTGGGAAGAAGGGCAAAGGGAATGAAGTAGGCAAGTCCACTAAATTATGTTGGGTTTATGTTGTAAAAACAGAAAAAGTGATTCTTTGCTTTTCCTGTCCTCTGAGAGTCCTCTTGGTTCTTGTATCAGCAGAAAGTGCCATGCTAAAATAACTGTACCCTACAGTATGTGAGAAAGGGTCAAGCTAATTGTACTCTCATTAAGAAAAGCGTGCCGCCCCCTGTCCCTGGAAGACAGATGCAGCAGAGTACTACACTATTGCAAAATCCAAATGTCTGTATTTTAATAAGTTAGAAGAAATCCACATATAGAAGCCATAGAGTCACTGAAATGTTAACAAGTTAATATATTTTAAAGCAAATATAACACCGTGTACACATAAAAACCATTTAATACAAAGTGAAAACCATTAGATGCACCTACTAATGCAGATTTTTGGTTATTTTCAGCTCTTTCACTGAAACTTGGAAACAATGCTCTTCATTTCAGTTACACCAGGTTAAGTGGTGAAACTGATCTATAGCAAGCAAATCACTGCCTTTTCGTTCACCTGGGAAAGGCAGCACCACTGCAACCGATAGTCTCTCCAGAAGGGCATCCAAACAGAACAGGCTGTGCACATCTGCCCCACTCGCTAAGCTATACAAGAAACCAGATGTGGATTGATTGCTGCTTCTGAAAAGTAAAGCTCAGTAAGTGCATCCATGCTGTACAAAAAAAAAATTAAAGTGACAACACAGAAAACTGGCAACAGATAACCATGTCTACCTAAAATATACACATATGATACACAATTATGGGCCATGCTGGCCAGTACGTATGTCTGTTCAGGAGCAAAGCTTTAATTGCACAGATTAGAAAACTGAACAAATGCTTTTACAAAGCAAAGCACACGCTTTGGTTTATGCTTAGACAGTGAACATTAAACCTTCCATTTTTATAATAATGTCTATTATGAAAAATGGCTCCTTTCACTGCTATGTGCAATAGTTGTTTCTCTATGAATAAGCACTCCATTCCATACAATGAAATGAAGCTCAGTGTCTTATTCAATGAGCCCATTAGCTGTATCTAGACTGGGAATGCATTCAATCTTTATGAAAAGCCACTGAATTACAAAAAGTTTAACTTATTTCCTTCACGATTCCCCAGCCCTCCCCCCATTTTTAAAATGCTGCATATATAAAAATAACTCCAATATGGCACCAAAGTGGGATTCTCAAGGGAAGGCAAAGGGTAACAGGGCAAAGGGAAGCCTCCACAGGCAACATCAACAAATTGCATACAGTCCAAGAGGAATTTGCACCCTATACAAAATGAGCTTCCCTGTGTTCCAGTTCTTGGATCCTTTTTGGTCTCAGTCTCTGGTAAGTAGGCTTCAGATCTGTGGGGTTAATATCCTCTGAGCTAGTTTTTTGTTCAGTTGTGTTTTGTTCAGGATCACCTGATGGAAGTGCAGAGCTCCTTGCGGTATTATCCTGGTGAAGCACAGAGCTAGCACTGGTTGATGCACAGGCTTTAGCTAAAGAACCCTCTTCATTTTGTTTTGTTTTGTTAGAGGGTGGTTTATAAAATGTCCCTGGGGGTGGTTGCAGTGTTCTTGGTGCCCTGAAGGCAGCAAGAGGATTGGCATCAAGACCATTCCCTTCTGTTGCTGTCCTTCCTGACCTGACAGAAACAGAACATGGCTTACTAAGAAGAATGGCGTTAGCTGAATTGTTACCAACGCTGCATGATGAAGATAAGGCATCTGCAGTTCCACTCTCAAGTGCTCGGTTCTCCTGAGGCACATTAGTCACAATCATTGCTGTCCTTGCTGTGATATCATACTGTTTATATTGCTTGTCCCAAGTTTTTCGCAGCATCTGGGTGTTGTAACAAGGAAGTCTCCAGCAGGTAGGAACACCAGGGCGTGCCTTCACCTCTGAAACTTCTTCAATAGTAGGGAACCTGCCCAGCTTCTCTGGACTTACTGCTCCTACGTTTCGTGTATTTCTTTCATTCAAAACACATGGAGGAAGTATTCGGTCTACAGGCAGGCTCACAGGGCGAGTAGCTGGTTTTGTCCTTGGAACCCGCAATGGAACTTTGGTAATCTGACGGTTAGGTTTTGCAGGAAATAAGTTAATTTTACAGCTGTCTTCACCTAGAGAAACAAATGAATCATTTTCTCTCTCTGAAGCTGGACTCACACCATCACCTAGAAACACACAAACAGATGTGACTGGATCTTTGCACCAAATATAAAGAGAAGTCAGCAAGACTTTTGCCAACAGAATATGAATTTTATTAATGATCCCTTGACAGTTGGTATTTTAATGGGATAACAGTTAACAGTTCTTAGGTATACCTTGTATACCTACTAGGAGTATCCTACTCTAGACAAATGTTAGCATTTCGATAGCAGTAAAGCACATACTGTGCAGATGTAACCACGGAAGACACTAAGAGGAAAACAGGTAAAGAGACACTGCACTTTTTTTGGCTGGTGCTTTCCCATCCCTGACTATTTTCAGTTTTAATATGATTCAGAATGTTGCACTGTTAGTGTACAGGACATGACTGAACAGGTAACACCAGCAGTTACTCCTAAATAAAGTGAATGAAATCATACCTGCATTAAAACAAACCATTGTAGTAGCACAGGCAGATAAACAGAAAAAATCTTATATAAGATTTATAATTAGATTAGCAAACCTGGCTTTTTTGGAGCAGAAATATTAATATCCAAAATGCTGGTAGCTGATGATTCTGTCAGAGAATTACTCTTCCCAGAGACTTCTGGTTTAGTTCCAGTGAGTGGCAATGATACACATTCTGGGGGAAAAACAATGTTCAAAACATGATAATTGGTGGACATTGGTTTGCAGCATCATAGTGCATTTCAGAAATCTACAGGCACAGCACAATTTTAAAAAAAACCAAACTATTGTACCTTCTTTAAACTGATTCCATCAATACATGTTTCTTGAAAACCTTTACAAACATTTAATTCTCTGTTCCTCTTCGAAAACATAAACAGTGTATCAAGCAGCGACAAACAGGTTTTATCACTTGCTTCTGTCTAAACTGAAGAGCTGCACGCACTAAAATCGAATGCATCCATGACTGCTTATTCACCCACACCAAAACTTAATAAAAGTGCACTAACCAGTTACAGATGTATCTACTTGTTCTTTTGTATTCTTGCTATTGTTCAATTCCAAAACCAATGCAGCTGTTTCTGAAGCTCTGCTTTCACTTGGAGCTATCAGAACACCCTGTTAACAAAAGCCAGAGCAGAAGTACATGAGAACACAAGAAGAAAGGCACTCCTTAGCAGAATCCTCCCCAAAGATTTAACAGAAGTGTGCCCTCGAATGCCACAGCATTTGACACAGAAGTTGGGGTGACATAGGTAACATTGCCACAGCACAGGAAAAGTCACTCACTTCCTTTACAGCAACAAATGACTTCCTCTGCTGCTGTGGCTCCCTCTCTTCAGCTGATAAAGCAACTCTGACTGTCATGGCAGCTTCTTCAGATAGAGATGTGCTCAGAAGTGGTTTCAATGAAACATCGAATATCTTTTCATAGTATGTTATGAGCAGCTCCACTACTCGGGCCTGATAAGGGTAATCCACAAGAGACGACAAAGAAACTGTAGCATCTGTTTGACGTGGCCTGATCAGGGTTGGGCCAAATATTATGCCAAGGTTGCTGGCTGACATTTTATTTTCATCAGACTGTTCTGTAACCCTGCATAAAGAGGAAAAAAAACCCCAAAACTCCAAGAGTTAGAGGGGAAAAAACCCCAAAACTACAGAAATATTTTAGATATTATCTTATGTCTAAAGATGTTAAAAGACAATAAAAAAAACTGAAGGTGGGTTTGGTCAACCCACCACAGGTAAGCAGGCAGAATCTTCAGTGCAGGCTGCATTTAACAGTAGCTTGGATTAAGTGCTTTCCACACAGGGTGTTTTTATGTCCTACTTGGTTAAATGTTATTTGTGGCTACGTGGCATTTCTGGGGCTGGGGAAAAAAAGGTCTCATTCCAAGTACACAGCTGTAGCCCAACATTGCCCATTTTTATTGGTAGTCATCAGCTCGGTACATCCTCACTACACATTATCACACAATTCAGCATTTGACGGACAACGAAGTGAAATGTAACTGGAGAATGGTTATTAACAGACATGATACAAGTTTCAATGTTCTGTTAAAAAGCCATCAAATCACTGCCCTATCTGGGTCATATCCTGATTTAAACCACACCTAGGTCCCTGCAGCTGCCACTAGTTACTACTTGCTGACCCCAATGCTAGCAGAGAATTTCTTTCCCTCCTTTCTTTCCATTTCATATTCTTCTCTCACCTGAGAATTCATTACAGTGGAAAAAGAAACAGCAACAGAACAAAGTCTTCTAAGGCACATGTGACTTCTTCCTCTACAGTCATCAAAAGGGTACAAGAGTTCCCTAGTACACAGCATGTAGCAGTTTATTTTTGAACATCAGTTTGCATTTAAAGTCTGTCTCACCTGTGAAGGTGTCCAATAAGGTACTGAAGAGTGTTGTAGTTTGGTACAGGCAGTTGTTTCAGAAGATCTTTAATTTTAATGATGATCCTATTCAGTTCAATACAGATTGACTGTCTTTTCTTTGATTTGGGGCTGGCTTGTTTAGCTTCCAGTTCCTCATTAACATTCTGGCTTTCTTTTGCCAGTCCAATGAACTCATTGTAAAGCCGAAACAAAATCAAGGGTTCAGGAAGCTGAAGAAATAAGAACATTTTCAGAAACATAGTCAAGCCTGAATTTTAACTTATTTGCATCCTTCCTGTTTTTCTTCAACTTTGTCCGGTCTAACATCTTTTCTTAGATGATATCGTTTAAGCTTTGTTCATTACCTCAAACCACAATTTGTCAAATCCAATCCCAAATAACAAAATCACTCCTCCCTACACCTTTCTCTGGAATTCTTTTTGCTAGTCCTTTCCTGCAATAGCTTCAAGACTAAAGTATTTATCAATACAGGTACAGACTTCAAGAAAGCAATTGCTGAGAGGGAGGGTGTTACATTGCATATGCACAAATACCATGTTAATAGTTAGTTATTTTTCCAGTCTTTGACATGTGGTATCAAGTTTGGTCCATATTCCATTTCTTTAAATTGGATTTTAGGCCATGTAACATTAATTTGTAATTGTGATTTAAGTATTTTCTCAGTATGAAAAGGATTGTTAATAATAAAAAAATATTACCAAAAAAGACAAAATGCTCAAACCTGATCTGGCTATTTGCATTGCCCCAGCATAGATAAAATCAAAAAGTAGGAAGACTAGATAAAACTCAAAATAATTAGTTTTAATAATTAGTCTTAAATGGGTTTAACTCAGGATTCTGTCTGAAAATGTCTTAACTGTGTGTTTCTAGTGCTGTTCCTACATTTAAAATGAGCAGGTTTACCTAGAAACCATGCCAACAGATCAGCTACAAAGGAAGTAATAAGACCAGAAGAAAACATTTTTACTTTTTTTTTTTTTAAATTATGAGGCCTATTCAAAATACAGCACAGCGCTTCAAACTGGTATCCCAGTATGATGTATATAATATGCTACTTTTTTACTTGAATAAGAAGGCAGAGTACATCTTAGGTGCTTTTGAAAAATTACTTAATGGTGGTGATCACAGGACTGGAATGCCCATCTCTGACAGCCAGTGTGAGGAACAGGATAGAACTGTGCAGCTAAGGATTATTCCTTTCAGAGTTAACAAGTGTTCAGAGTGACTCGGTAATTTCACTGGGCAGTGTCCCAGCCTCATTTTTTCAGATACATACTGAAACTGTTTTAGAAGATGCAATCATGAAGATTTAAAGCTCCATTTGGAAAGAAAAAGATGGGTAATCCCTCCATAACGAACACATCATCATGACCATTATATGAATGTTTCGTGACATTTTTGTTAGCCTATATTAACAGCAATACATTAGCATCTGTCTGCATGAGGAGGCAAGAATATGGGAATATTTTGAACTTCACATAAGACAGGCAAATTCAGTAACTGGAAAGGTTATAGGAAATTAAAGCTTCTCTACAAGTGGATAAACAAAAGCTTGTTCTGCGTATGGTACTAAATATTAAAGAGACATTATGTCCATTGGAATACAGATCGCAATACCAGCGGTCAGTACCTCACAGCTTTCCCTGCCCCTGTCACAAGCTCCATGTGAAAATAAAGAAGCCTACTGCAAATATACAAGGCATTCATTTAATCTTCTGCTGCAGGACTGCTAAAAAGGATCTTTTCCCCCCTCTTGCACTGAAGAAATATACTACACTACTTCAGTTTTCTATCTGATCTCTCAAGTACACGCATACCTGGCGGAGATACAGCTTGAGAACATTGCTGATATCATGTGCATAGAGTTCTGAGAGCTCAACCAAATCCTTTCCATTTTCAAAAGCTTGACAAAGTTTTTCAACTCTTGATTTGGCTCCATTCACACGATAGATGCCCTGAAATTAAAAGACCAGCACAACTCTATTTTAAAGGCAAGTGTAAAACACAGATAATATCAACAGTACAGCATTAACATCTTAAAAGATTTTTTAAAAAAAGATTGTTCATACTTAAGTTTTATAAGCAAACTTGAGCGTACCTTGACATTCAGTGCTCTGCTTTCAATTTCTGATGTACACTTTTTGATGATGAAAGGAATACCATCGGGAACATTTTTAGCAGCTTGGGCAAATTCTACTCCAAACAAGTGAAGCCTTCCATGAAGTTTTTTGTGCCCACACTGAATAGCTAAAGTCTCTAAGCATTTTTTATGGCATGCGAGTGAACACTGCAGGGGAGGAAAAAAAAAGCACATGGTTTGATACAATCTGACACAATAAGAAATATCTCTGCTGTTTGTCACCCCGTATGTGAGCAAGAGGAAAGTTTTATTAGTCTGTTGTGCTTTTGAGTTCATGATGATTCTACAAGCCACGAAGTCTGTATTTTTTATACAGAAAAATAATGCAAGTTTCCAAAACTCCCAACTTTACATAAATCCCAAGCAGCAATTCAAGCTACTTTTCAACTTACCTCCTCACATTCAGCTCCATGAAATACCACTAAGCTGTCACATTCTCTGCATTTAGATGGAGCTCTCAGCTTCCGCAGTTTGTGTGTTTGTGCTGCTTTGGACATATTAGCATTTCTAAAAGGTCCTGGAGAATTTGCAGTTTCAGATGTCAGATCATTTAAACCTGGAGAGAATTTCTCTGTTACAGTTATTCTAATATCTACTATCAGGATAGGGTATTTATTCTGATTTTTTAGAACCGTGCTGTGGAACACAGAATTCTGTAAGTAATAGCAACTATCAAAGTAATCAAAAGCACTTCAATCACAAGGAAGCAAAACAATGTTATAATTTACATAACCGACATATTAACTATTGAATAATCTTACATAAAAGTGGAATCAAACAGTCTTGCATTTTTAAGTATTTCAGTTTTCTCCTGTATTAATGGCATATAAAAATATTAGGACATTTAATTCCAACTGCCCTCCAGTTCAGGCAATGATTCATCAAAGTTTTATTCTATGTATTTCAAAATGCTGCACTAGAGGATGAAAGATGACATCAGGGTTTGGCCCATAGCGTTTCTGAAATACTTAAAGAAGAATACTTTGCAGCAGGGAAGAATTAACAGACACTCACAGCAGAACCTATACAAAATAAAAAAGAATCACTGATTCTCAGTCTCCCATGATAACAAAAATATTGTTTCTAGAGGATTCTAAAACAGAATAGCAACTGGTACTTTTTGCGACCAGTTTTGTTCAAGCAATTTACTTAAAATGCTATCAAAACTCTGTGAACCAAAATCCTTTGTTTTACAGATCAAAACTTAAACTTAACACATAATTGCCCAGAAAGCTTTTTAAAAGCTCAAATATTGATAAAATAATACCACTCCATGTTAAAGTTTGCATTCATTAACATGTTGCCATGCTTGAAAGCTAAATTAGTATTGTTAACCACAGGCTCATTCCCAATTCGGAAATTAGGACTGACTGAAGAATTTCCCAAAGGCTTTACTAAGCAAGTGCCACAAACATTTCAGGACTAGTTTGAGTACTGCAGACATCCCATGGAACAATTTCCAATAATCCAGTTATTCAGGTTTCAGTACCTGTGGCAACATTATCTTTATACAATTAAAATTCATTTGAAAATTAGAAGTGGTATAGTCAAATCTGGGACAGACATTATGAAACTTGCTTATTTAAGTTGAAAAGGGTAAAATCTCAGTTATTACCCTAAACATTTGGATCCACTTTTTTCTCATTTGCCAATTACTAACTTTCCATATCTGTGCATTTTACTTCAAAGGTTAGAAGTGATCTTACATACTTCAGTGCCATGCAGCTAATTTTAAATGCAAATGCATAGAGGGAATGGTTAGTGGGTCATTTATGTTTACCTCAGGAGGGCAAAGACACTAGAAATGTTCAAAGGCTGCCCATATAGTTAATTTAAATGTATGGAGACAATTCTGCACCACCTCATTAAAGTGACCTGAACATTATTCATCAGCACTCAATCTCAAGTGGATGCACAGTGTGTTGAAAAACAATGCTGTTGGTAATCACAGCCTTGCTAATGTACTTTTCTTAAGCATGTTAAAAAGAAAAGCCACACTCTACAACAAAAAGCATCATCTTAGCACTTCAGGTATGGAAACAACATTACCACAGTCTGAAGGAGATGGTGGCTCTCTTTCATCAAGATCATCTGCAGATGACATTGTACCAGTGGAAGGTGTTCGGGGAAGTCGTCTTTTAAAATCCCCTAGCAGATGAAAGCAAGAAGCTGTAAGTATCAGTTCCACCCAGATGCTCATTTTCATTTTTCCTGAGGAGAAGGACTTGGGGGTATTGATTGATGAGAAGCTCAACATGAGCCGGCAGCGTGCGCTGCCAACTGCATCCTGGGCTGCATCAAAAGCAGTGTGACCAGCAGGTCGAGGGAGGTGATCCTGCCCCTCTACTCCGCTCTTGTGAGACCCCACCTGGAGTACTGCGTCCACCTCTGGGGGCCCCAGTACAGGAGAGACATGGAGCTGTTGGAGCGAGTCCAGAGGAGGGCCACAGGGATGATCAGAGGGATGGAGCACCTCTCCTATGAGGACAGGCTGAGAGAGTTGGGATTGTTCAGCCTGGAGAAAAGGCGGCTCTGGGGAGATCTAATTGCAGCCTTCCAGTACCTGAAGGGGGCTGCAGGAAAGATGGTGAGGGACTGTTTATCAGGGAGTGTAGTGACAGGACAAGGGGTAATGGGTTTAAGCTGAAGGAGGGTCGATTTAGATTAGATGTTGGAAAGAAATTCTTTACTGTGAGGGTGGTGAGGCACTGGAACAGGTTGCCCAGAGAGGTTGTGGATGCCCCCTCCCTGAAGTGTTCAAGGCCAGGTTGGATGAGGCTTTGGGCAACGTCATCTAGTGGAGGGTGTCCCTGCCTGCAGCAGGGGGGTTGGAACTAGATGATCTTTAAGGTCCCTTCCAGCCCAAACCATTCTATGATTCTAGGCTTATAGGCTCTGTCCAACACTTGCTAAACTAACAATAATGTCTTCATATAAACCAATCCAAAGAAAATACTTCAAATTAGTATAGCAGTGAGTGTAGCTGTACCTGGGCTAGCAGATGGAGAATCCATGGATCGTGACTCGCTGCTTCCCCCTGCACTTTCAGAATCACTGCACATTCCTCCACTCTGGTTGCCAACTGACCATGATCTGAACGGTGGCGGCCCTCGCATTGCTTTTAAAAAGAAAATCCACCAATTCCAAATGTCAAAGAAAATTACATTCTTTTTATTTAAAGACTAACTATTATTATATTCAAAATAGGAAAATATTGCAAATGTTACAGGAACATACAATATCATTAAAAAAGCCCCACAGCATACATTCCCATAAAAGCTTCAGGATGTAAGAAAATTAATTTCAGAAACTTGAGACTTGTGCTTTTACAAAAGACCCAAAAATCACTGTAGTATTTACAAAAACAATGGATTTTAAATTGCTAAAGTTAACTGAAATGGCTTAGTACACTGAGCTTGACAAGACTTGCTGTTTGAATTGCATCTCATCTTTCTTGTCAAAGAATCGAGGTATACATACAAGCAGTTTTCCCATTTGTCCTTATGCTCAAGTACATAACTGTTTTCACAGGCTTCAAACATCAAGCAACTATTTTTTTTCTGGTATTTTTATTTAGAGACTGAACTCCAGGTGAAATACAGAAGAACTACCTTGAATATCTGTGCTGCTGGAAGATCTCTTCTCTCCAATCTTTTGTGAACGATGATAAATTGGGCTTCCCACATCATCTAACGTCTGAGCAGAAAAATCTCCTGAACACTGAGATAAGTTACCATGTGATGTATGAACACTGTTGGTTGACTGCTTATTAAAAACCCTTCAGAAAGAAGAAAGTAATTTGAAAAGTGAATAAGATAAAAAAAATCATTGCTTTTCATTTAATTCTATCCCTGGCACTAAAAATGCTTCATTTAATTGCTGTTCATGAACATATATGTTTGACATGTAATTATTAAAGTCCAAGTTAAAAAAGAGAAGGGTAGTAATTTATTCTTAATGTGCAATTTCCCAATGTTTCCTTCCTCCCTGTAAATCAGCTGTTCCACATCTCTGCAACGTATTATGACCATTATTTTGCAAACTTAAAAAAACCAGCAAATCTGTTGACCTAAAGATCAGAATAATTCAGAGGCTACTGCATCCTACTTTTATGCTTCCCTCCAAAAGATTTTCTGCCCAGTCATCAGAACCATTCACCTATAAACACATAGGCTTTAAAATGCTGTCCTTTTTAAAAAGGGCAGAAAATACGTTGAAGCTGCCAGAGAGTTTATAGTCAGTCCACTATGAAAAATCTGCTCTCAAGATAAGGACAGAAAACTGTTAACAGTAATTGATATAAAACACTGAAGCACCCTGTGGGCACAATGGCCTGCTAGCCAAGTTTAGCAGTCAGGAAGATTTTTCTTTAATCAGTTCAACCCTATCTGGTTGAACAAAATAAAGACTTAAAAAATATTAAAATTTGCATTTATCCAAGTTACTGGCCCTTAAATAAATGCAGATGTAAACAATAAGAGTGATCACTTCAAGTACATGAAGAATCACAAGGCCATGTCAAAGAAAACAAAAGGTGGGGAGAGGGGAGGAGAAAAGACACACTCCTATAAATCTTAAGCAGTAAATAGTTGGGAGAGCACACAAAGAGTTTGAAATTTCATGCTCATCAGGTTCTCAGGGAGCTGCATAGTTAAATCTCCCTAAGTCAAAGTTTATGAGTATAGCCTAAATCAGTCTTAAAAGGCAGGAAATTTACAGACAAAACCGGAGAATCTCAGCTTTAACTGAATTTCCTGGCTTTTGTTGGTAGAAGTCTGACTCAAGCATTAGGTTTTTTGTATTTAGTTTCCTTTTTAAAGACGATGACGACACTTTCCTGTAGAACTGTGAAACACAGGGATTGGAATGGATATTCTGATCCTTTAGTGCCAAGATTACTATTTTACAACAAGTTAAAGGTGGAAAAGCATTTGGCATACTGACAGGAGGTGTTGTCTTTTTGCCTTGTAGGCTTTACTTCCACACTAGCTGTATCTTTACTAGATTAACAGTAAAACCTGCCATTTCACACAGGTTAGAAAAAAATAATGAAGTTATAACATAGGAACATGTGGACTCTAAACTTTTTTAGTCACACAGCATGAGACATATTCAGCAATGCTTCCTGCCAAAAAGTTGCCAAATGTAAACAATATGAAAGAAGGTGCTGTAGCAGCAAGGCCTGCAGAAGAGGAAAACCACCTCCTCCGACTTTCTAAATTGATTATCAAATATTACTGCCACACCACACTACAGAGTTCAAAATTTACATTTTCTGTATTAACCAGTATCTACATTAAAATAGTAACAAGTCAATTCTTGCACAACAATCGTCAATGTTTTAGCAAGTCTTACTACACAAAATGACATTCTGCTTCAGAATTTCAAGTCAGGTTTTAATGTCAACATTATACATAGTCTACCAGAAGATGAGCCAAAGAAACAGAGAATGGTAAAGCACGCTAAAACACGAGGATTCATTTATATCCCCTCCCCAAAAGATGATTTACTCTTAAACATGGGTGCCTAGCACTTAATTCTAAACCAAGCAAATGCCACCTGTAGTTTGGGACTCACCCATCAACCTGGGAACTCTGGGTTTCAAAAGAACCTGATTCAATAGGAACACCTTCCTTTGGCAAACTTTTCACAAATTCTGAATACTGCTGTCCAGGGTCATAGAGTTTGGCACTCTCACAGAGGGACTGGCAGTTAACGGGAAGAGATACAACCTGAGCGTGCTGCAGCTGGAACAGGTTAACTGTTGCCTGTTGGGAGAAAAAAAACTCAGTCTTTATAGATCACTTATAGATATTTCATGTGCACTTTGCTCAACCCAAATTAATATCCCAATAGAAAATTATTTAAATAAGACTAGAAAAATTCTAGAAAATAGTAACATTTGTAGGTGTGGACTTTGTGTAAGATTCCTGAAAGTCAGCTGCAAAAGCTTCATCCATAGTATAAATACCAGTATTCCTCTCTTCTCTCAAGGTTATTGAATCCTCCAAGTTGCAAAGGCAATTCCAATGGCTTCCCACTTCAGGCTAATAAAGATAAACAGCAAGGTTTTTTGCTACCAAAAAGGCATTTTTCATGCTCTGGAGGGAATTTTAGTCACCACTACAACAATGAAGTAGTTGGAGTTCCAAACCCAGAGAAGCTCCATATCACCTTGAGACAAGAAATGGACAAAACTCCTTGTCCCAATAGAACAGATTAGAAGTTTTATGTAATTTAACAAAGAAAGTGTTCATTTAAAGTATTTTATCACAAGGCAGAGCCCAGGGATAGGGACACTTCATGGCTGCTTCCTCAGTTTTGGGGTTGCAAAGTAGTTCGCAATTTACTTGTACTTGAACTGACAAGTTTGTCTAAGCTTTGCACTCGTCTTATAGGTTGTTTTTTGGGTTGCCTGTGTGCGTGAGGTTTTATTCTCCTTCCCCACTTCAGCATTAAATTGGTTTTGTCTCATCTTAAAAAAAGTACACATCTATTGGCATAATGTGCTATTAAAGCTTTTTTAAAAACTGCATGCAGATATACTGTTTTGACAATCCTTTGCTTATTTACATGCATTAAAGTTAATACGTTAAATTATTCACAATTTATCCTGTAGTAACTGAGACTGACATCAAGATTAGCAGGCTCCATGCTGCAGCATGTTAATGTCTATTCTGTGCTCGAGCCAAACATCTTTGCTAATGCACTAATGAAAATAATGTGAATGGGAGCTGTACTCTTAGCAAAAGAGCAACACTACTGCCATCAGTGTTTCTGGAGAGATTTTACAAGAATTGTGTAGTCAGGGTTCTTGCAAGGCAGTAACTCATAAAAACCCCAAAAACATTCAAGACACATATGATACCCTCTCTTTTGTTTTTAAATTCCTAACAGAAAGGGAACACCACAAACATACTAAAAGTTTTCCTTCTTTTTCTATTGGCTTCACCTCTGTCCTTTGAAAACTGTATTTTAAGCAGTTAACACTACAGGTGAGGCTTTATCTTAGTCTTAACAATCTTTATGTATGTGCCACCCATATTTTAAAAAGCATGCTTACAGCTTTAAGAGTGAGATCACACTGGTAAATAAGCTCCCGAAGCTGTGTTAAGACATCACTTTTAAAGCTTTCCAAATCATTTCTTTTGTCTTCAATCTCTGCCATGCTTGCTTTATAGTGTTCATTGGCCTCTTCAGCCTAGAGAAAACACAAGTATAAAGGGTTGATGGACTACAAGCCTTGATAGTAGAAGCAAGAAAAAAAACTTATGCAAGACACTTGTAATTGGAGATTCCCATTTAGGATAAAAACCCAAAAGAGCATGCCATGCTTAAAATTAAGAATTATGAACAGAACGCTTGCTTGAATGCTCCCATTGGGAAAGCACGAGTAAAACCAGTGTAGGCTTATCTTTAAAAGCAAGGAACAAAAGCTCTTACTTTTTGAAGTGCCTCCTCTTCTAGCCTTCGTTTTTTTTCCAGTTGCTTGCTGACATCTTTCACAAAGCTTCCACTTAAGCTAAGATGTTCCTCCTCAGCACGAGCAGTGCAGGATTTTGCCTTTTCATACTCATCTTGACGCTGTGTATATAGCAACTTTGCTTTTCTTAGAGCAGCTTCCAGCTCTTGCTGCAGAATGCAACAAAAGAAAAAAACAAAAGAATGATTTTAATTTTCCAGTTATTTAATGTGATGTTTAAAGAGGCTGTTATGCACAGGTCTGTACGCTGCAGTTTAAAGTACATAGTCATAGAAAGATAACCTCTTACAAGTGTGTTATGAAATTGACAGTTACATACTACATCCAACAAGCCCTATAGATTCTACATGTGAATTTAAGTGCATAACAGCCTAGTTTGAAAGTGTTGTCCTTTTGAAGAATTTTAGATTGAACACTGTTAGATATGAAAGAAGTACCAACCATTTTTTTCTGTTCTCGCTGCCAAAGCTCCTTGATATCTTTCCTTTGTCTATCCAACTCATTTTTCCTTCCGAGAAGAGGCTAGATAGGAAACATAAAAGTACATAAAAAGCTTCAAGTTTGCTCTTTTGAATAATCTGTGCTGTTACAAAACCTTTTAAAAATCTAAACAATACGTTCATCTTTTCTTTAAGCTTACCTGCACAAATTTGTTAGACTGGAGAGCAGCAGCTGTTTGTTGCCAAAGTTGATTGTTCTCGATATCATTTTGAAAAGCATTAATGAATATCGATTGGAATGGCATATAATCCTAAAATTGCACACAACAAAATATTAATGTCCTAGGTAAGGTAGAGACATTCCAAATGTCTGTATAATTGAACTAGATTTTCAATTAAATTTAGGAAGGTGTTTATGTGTGTGTGGAAGTCAGTTAGGTATGAATGTAGAAAATGACTAACTTCTCAGCTAATTTTCCTATTATTAGGAAAACACTCTGAAAGACAAGTCTACAGGTCCAAATCACAAAGCATACAAGATATTAGACGGAAAAAAGCGTATTGTGAAAACAATAAGGTTGTTCTGCATTTTTGACAAATATAAGTTTATATCTCTAAATTTCCATAGAAGATGGGAAGACATAATACAGCACATCTTTTAACCAGTGATTTACAGTATAAATCAATTCTGTATCAACTTAGAAATCCATTCCTCAACATCCCCACAGTTCCACTTTTGGGCAAAGCATCCAATACATATTTAAGACTTTATTTTAAAGTCCCTAAGATATACTTACCTGGTGTCCAACAACAGCTTTAGCAGTTTCAGCCACTTTTGCTAAGTTTTTAGCACACTCCACTTCTGTTAAAAAAATTCACAGTTACTGTTTACACTAACAATCATACCACATACCAAATGCTTTTTACATTCTTCCTCTAATGGATAGGCTAGAGGGGACCACCTTCACTTTGTTACAGGCGTTTAATTATAGGAAATGCACGATATTTCTGTCCACTTCAGCAGAATAGCTACTAATTTATAAATCACATTATTGACAGTCGGCAGCACAGAGGCCTGACAACAGATTTAATTTCATCATGACAAAGCTGATTAAATGCCAGAAAGAGCCACTCACCCAAGCTAAGCTTTTTTTCTACCCATGCGACTACATCCTTGGTATATTTTGACCATGCTTTAGCATAGGACAGAGCCGATTCAATTCCGCTGTCATTTCTTAGGAGCATGCTATCAACCTCCTCTGCTCGAAGATGTCCTGAAAATAAAGCATTGAACACAAAGAAGTGAATTTTAGACATGACCACACACTGAGAGCAAAGCCAGTATTAGCCAACTGTGAAAGCTTAAGCAGCTCTGATCTTGAGTTAGTCTTTAATGCTAGTTGACTCTAAACAGGACTGACAGCGGTTTTAGAACAAATTAAAGGGCCATAGTATTTTATTTGGAGCAGTCATATGGTCAGCATAACTTTCTTTAAGAAAGTGACCCAACAAAACACCAATCATATGATGACATACAGAAATGCTTCAGGCC